TTTTATAATTGGCTGCCAATTTTGAGGGCACCAAATAAGTAGACAGCAAAGCAGACTCATTTGGTTTCAGAGAGGGAACGACGAGAAAAATATATGAATAGTAGACATTTGGATTTTCGGGGTACCCGGGAAGCAATCAGTAAGGAGCTGAATCAAAGAAAACTGTCAAGGTTCGATCAACTCTTCAAAAAGGGCAGTACAAGGGAAGGAAATCATAACTTACGTAAATTATAGAAAACGAACTATAGCAGAGGAGCTGTGGAGAGGCGAGATAACAGGGTGCACTAATGCGGGGAAGTTCGATTGGGGAGAAGTTTTGAAGGGAGTCGAGGATTCCATTGAAATTCACTCGAAAACATCACATGTCCTAGCTGGCCATTTATCTCAAAGATATCTTTACTAGACTTACTTCGATATGAAAGACGCAAGTTCGTGGTTTCGCGGCTCGAGGAGCTGCATTGATCTTCACTCTGATTCGTTGCGGTTCCAGTGCTGCATAGAGTTTACGCCCACATTTAGGAATAGACGGAGCCTGCATACTTCCACAAAATCTTCCACCATAGCCAAGCGGACACCTGACACAGTAGACAATTAGAAATCAGTTTTTGTGAAAGTTCCATTCTCAAAAGAAAATTAGCAAAAAGGGATGCTGACTTGCAAATGCGGCAGTTACGGGGATTTTGCATTCCTCCATTGAAACACTTGATGGCTCTTCTGCAAAGACCTGAAACAGTTGCAGTGCAAAGGAAGACGTGTATAGTGGTGGAAAGTGTCTTCCGAGGGAAATAAATGAAAAGAGATTATATTGTAGGGGAACTCCAAAACTTTGAACTTCCAAAGTAACAATTCGCGTCTGCCCCACCTCGGCCTAGGGTTTTAGAGCACACCACTTCAGTCAAACATTATTTAGGTTCAACGCGTCTCATGAGGTGGAGGTGGTGTAGTGGTGTGGTATGCTTACCGTGCGCACGTCCCAGGGATCAAATAGTGGATAATCCCATCCCGCATCTCGCTATCCCAAAAGATCTTTCCAGTCAAGACGACTGCTATCCTCGCTTGTCCTATACAAGGACAATGATATGATAACAGTCGTCCGGAAGCAGCAACATCCTCCCAAGAAGGCAACCGCCGCCACCTTCGAATAAAGGACGTGGTCAGTAGTTAGGGTCTCGTCATCTTCGGTGTCCCTTCAGGAGGATTCTTCGCGCTGGGGTTGTAAAGTATCGAAAGGAGCCATACGAATATGTATAGAATGATCCAGACGAGGCTGGCGAGTGCTCCTCCTCATACCTTTGCAGCTTCTACACTTATATAGTTCGTGCGCTAATGCTTGATTCCCCCGTAAAAGTTGGTCCTTTTGGTACAACTTAGGGCTTCTTTGTTCGGCGGCAATCGATGAAAGGCTCCCGTGCGAGAGAAATTTTCAATCTATGAATCTTTGGAAAAGGCGATGTCCCTATTCCGGCTGATCCCCAGTGTCTGTCAGTCTTGTTCTTATTTATTAACCTTCCGTAGTAGATCGGAAACTAGTCAGTATGCTTTCTTTGTATGAACCATTGAGCTGGTTTATGTTTTCTCCCTTTCCTCTAGTTCCTGAACCAATATTAATGGCCTCTCGGATCAGCTTTGCCCTCTGAAAGGCGAGCGCTGTCCTTCATTGATTGGTGATCTCAGAGTGCAGCTCAGGCCCGCTAACTAAAAGATGGTTTACCCGTGTGTTCCGTGTATTGTATTTTTATTTGAAAAACGACAGATACAGTCAGCTCTGGAATAGTTCTCGCTAGTGACTCTGAACTTAACGATGGCTTCCCGTGCTTCTCCTTTCAATGCATTCAACAGGTAGTTGTACTTAACCATCTCAGGGAGGTCCTTCGAATTGATGTTGCTATCGAAAATCTCCCAGAAGTTATCCCATTCCCATATATCCCCATCGAAGGTTGGAATGGGAAGCGGTGGTAACTCCGACAGCTCTTCTGGCTGTACGGGACTCTCCCGGTTCATTCGGTTACTGCTTTAGGAGAAGCTGGACAGTTTAGTGGGGATTGCCTGATCAACTCGTGTTGTGTTCAGCGAGAGATCGTGGAGGCGGCCTTGCAAGAAGACTACGAAATCAAATGCCCTTGATATTGCGGTTTCCGCTCTTTTTGAGTACTGTTCAAAATCTTCTTGCCTCACTTATATTGGTGCTTTCTTGGTTGTCAACTTCTACCGCCAACTCGAATAAGGCTTTCTCAACTTTCGTCATTATGGCCTCTATTGAACTTATAGTATTTTGCACCCTACTGATCTTTTCAGTTCCTTCTTCTTGTGAAGTTCCAAACGCGACCGAAAGTTCTTCTACTTCATCTGCCTTGATCCCTCTTATTGATTCTTCTAACTTAGTGATAAATGTTAACAAGTCACGTCTTAGTGTTGGCGATCGGAGTTTGCCGATGTTTAACTCGCAAAGTCTCCGTATTGTTACCGGCCGTATAACTGAGTGCTAGTTCCTGCTGGATCGTAATTGGGCCGATGCACCAATTTTATAGTGTTTGCTGCCACGCGGTTTTGTGTTGACTGTGCACGACGAGTCGTAATGAGAACAATCTTTATTGCTACTGCCGGATGTGTTGAAGCCTGCTCTTGGACGAAGTCCTGCTATTGACGTGGTGCCTCAGTCCTTGTATCGCGAAGAAGTCTGAATGGAATGAGCCAACGAATGAACCATACCGGCTTGCCATTCACTACATAAATCACTTCTTATACCATATTCTATCTTATCCCTCAAAGATACTTATCAATCATTGTACACCACCTTTACTGACAGATCATTTTACATATCAACAAACAAGTTAACAGTTGAAACGAAAGCCTAAAGAAATGAAATGCTTGTAGCTATTGCTACACTCCTCCCACGCTGTTGCATCTCCCGTCACACGTACAACCATAACCCAAACGCGCTGCTTAAATGCGCCCTCTTACCTCTGGTTGATGTGCAGTGCAGGTCTGTGTTTCGCTGCCGGATCTTCGTATAGACGCAACTGCTTCACCTTAAAGGCAGTTGGCACGATAAATCGCTATACAGGTGTAGGATTTGTCTTAACAGAATTCCGTGACCTCGGACAGGCGCTGCGTGAAGCCTTTTTCAAGGAGGGTGCCTCTATAACGTCCTATTGAGCAATAACTTTACGTCCCAAACGCGCTTCTTGCCCCGCCGCCACAACGGCGCCACGTTCTTACGCTCGTATTCATTCATTTGCTGAGCAAATTATGAAGCAAAGGGATTGGTATGAAGCGGCCGGTGATGCTGCATGCATACATGGGTACACATATGCAGCCGTATCTTCGGTAGCGGTGAATTGGCAAGATGCGTACGGGAAACTCGTCCGAAATCGATTTACAAGTCACTGAGAACGGGGCTTTTTCTTCGCCGGATTTTGACCGTTTCACTCGTTCTTTCGCCATTTCCCCACTATACAGCGCCCTACTAGCATTTCAGGCTAGGTAGGAAACCATCGTGCCAACTGCCTTTAAGGATAGCGCGGGCCGAGTCTCAAATGGCATCCGGGTATATCTTCCCACCAGCACCGTTCCCGCGCACTCTCAAGTGACAAAATTGTAATTGTAAATAGTGCAGCTGCCATCAGTTTTTATCGCACATGGCAAAGATTATGCTCAAAATGGGTGTACCTCAAACGGTGCTACACTTACGATCTGAATCATCTGATATATTTTTTCCAGAGATCTCCTATTCCAAGGTGATATTGTCATGCCGACTTCACTTCTTAAAAGTATCGTCAACAGTGCAAACCTCCGTCAGAAGCGAACAGCCTTCCGAAACGCTCAATATCCAGTTACCATCTGGAAGAATGGCGTCCCTTTCGCTTTCCACAGAAGTCTGAGTACGTTAATAAGACTCTGAGTGGTCAACGCCATACGGCTAGAGAACATTTGCAGAAGCTGCTGGACGACGATCAGTTCTGGCTGCAATTCAGTTCTTCAGACATCACACTTGCATTCGCTTCAAGAGGCGAAAGAGAGAGAAGGTATTTTCCGTAAGAGCTGATGTCAAGGTACAGCATCGTGACATGATAAGACAGTGGTACGTGCGATATCCCTCCCGCCCCCCCCCCATTTACTCGTCAGGTAGACCGCTCCTTCCCCTTCACACTTGCCATCTTAAATCCTTCCATTTCTACCATTTCCCGCTCTTCCATAAAATTTTGCTAGTTCTTCCCCTTTAAGAACGCCGTCCGATTGGAAGGACGCGGGGGGGGGGGGGGCATTCCACAGCTCAGATCACTCCTAAAAACATAAAATATACTCTACGACGCTTTGCTAGGCTGTATAGCATGAGCGAAAGGTAAAAATCGAACAGTTCAACATCTTAGGGACCTTTTTTTCTCTTTGGCTCAGAAAGAGTCCCGCCATACCACGCACGACCCTATTCCGAGCGAACAGGTACCACCCTCTCCCCTAATAAGATTCCCCTAGCGATGCTGTATCCTGGCAAATGTCTGCCTCTGAATTATATTTACTGTGCCTTGAGGTTTATTTGCTTTTCACTGGACATGATGAGGGCTGTTGGAGTACGGTAGGAAGAGATCCATGGCAACAACAGCAGCTCATTTCCATTGGCCCTGGATGCGAACCTGTAAGCCGCTAGTTTCATTCTTTTTAATTGCCCTTAATGTGCATATAAGACTTACCGCTTCCGTCATTTCAGTTTGGTATCTCGTCCCACGAAGTCGCGCATGCCTTGGGCTTGTTCCATGAGCAATCCCGATACGACAGAGATAATTGGATTACCGTATACCCTGGAAGGGTTCCTCAGTCGTTCCTTTACAATTACGCTAAGGTAAGGTTTTCCCTCGGCTTGTTTTAGTGCTTAGTTTACTTATTTACGTGATCATTTATTTATTGATAGTGATAAGGTGATAAAAAATGTAACCGGAATGTTTAAGGTGGGCCGGAGACAAATGTCACCCTACGCAACACCGTATGATATCGGAAGCGTCATGCATTACACTCCATTCGAGTACGGTAGTTTCTTTGCTTAAAGGCACAGTTCGCGACCGCAAATTGCGGGAAACGGAACTCAAATAGGCACAAAAAAGTGCTAAGTATCTGATTAGCGGAGAAAAGCAGCAGAAAAAGCAGTCCGAAATGTTATAGAGAAAGATAACATAGTGGCTACTAGCTAGTAGCTAGCAGCCGGTGAGGGTCGGCATGGGCCTAAGGGGTGTCCATGGGCCTAATAGTCAGCTTCTAGCGGAGTTCTTGCCGTTTTTCACATTTTGAAAGTAGCGCAGCCTCAAAAATCGCCTTCCGGATCGTCCGACACATTTGAGAGGTCATAGCCTTATTTTATCGCGGAATGTGCCTTAAAGGAGTTTCGATTTCCGATTTACCGACTCAGAGTTTCCCTAAAATTGAATCGCCGAGCGGTAATCACAGCTAAGAGCAATTTGCTACTGTCTATTAAAGATAATAAAGGTTCATCAAGTGATCCTCACAGTTCCGGTCGATGATCGCCAAGAATATCAACGAACAATCGAGTATGGGCCAATTGGCAGGACCATCATTCGCCGATATTCGAAAACTGAACAAGCACTACGGTTGCGGCGGTGAACATTTTCTTCTGATTCCATGGTTTTTAAGAGCCACGTTCCCACCTCAGAGGCATAGCTCATTTGAGGTATAAGTACGCTAAATGCACAATGCTAATACACTGTAACTTGATAGTTGTTTTAAAATGGTAGCAAAGGTGCTGTATAATTGGAAGATGGCGAAAAAGCGAGGTGAAGCGGTCAAAAACCTGCTAAAAAGCCTTTGTTCTTCACGCGATCATAAAAAATTTGGACGAGTTTGCCGTTGCTATCCTGAAAGTAAGCGATACGGTAGATACGGCTGCATATATGTATCCATCTACTATATATAAACGGCGACGTCTGTCTGTCTGTCTGTCTGTCTGTCTGTCTGTCTGTCTGTCTGTCTGTCTGTCTGTCTGTCTGTCTGTCTGTCTGTCTGTCTGTCTGTCTGTCTGTCCGGAAATTCGGAATCATCTGAAGAGTCAGTTGTCAAAATGTCAAAAACTCATAATTCGGATCTAAAACAGCTCGGAGAGTTGGAAAAGTAGCAAACGATAGGTGCTATCACAAGAATGCTGAGTTGTGGGCAAAAGTCGGACCACGGGCGGGACTCGAACCCGCATCTTCTGCTTACCGGGCAGTTGCGTTACCACTTACGCTACCGGGCCACTTTTGACCTCTCAGCTCAATGGCTATTCTTGTGATAACTTTCATATCGCGCACTGCGGCGTAAAACAGCAGTTATCAAGCCAAAAAACAGTCTAAAACTAGCAAACGATAGACAATCGGTTGCCGGACGAAATTAGTGAGACAAACCCATTTTGGGCAGCGCGTTCTATATGTGGACTGTGCTTGCTACCCAAAACTTTCAATTTGATTATTTTTTTTGTTGACGACTGTATCTAGGGGGGGGAGGGGAGGGGTACATACAAGAAGTGAAACGGTAAAATGCGCTGATTCTCGAAATAATATTTTTATTGACCATTCGCTCGGCGGAGCCGGCCGATCCGATTGGCCCTCCCACTCAGTTGCTGGTTGGCGGTGGGGGGAAAACTGCTCACCGGGCCCACTCCACGCGGTAGGAGGGATACTGCTATATACAGGGGGGCCAAAAAAAGTCATTTTGCCTCCATGACTTTCAAGGCGCTATAAGTTACACTTTATTAAATTTTTATCGGACATTTTTACTACCATATTAAAGAGCACATTAAATACTATAATGATACTCCGCCACAGCCTTCTGGAGGAGCGCCATCGAGAGATTCTGGCACGCGACTGCTCGATGTCCGGTACCTGAGAATTCAGCGGCTGCGTCAGCTCGATTTCTCCGCCACCGTAGCCATCTCTTGCGCAGTCGCCGAACTAATAATTGAGTTGCGGTTCAGGTCAGGGGACATACTTCATATTACATTCCCAGCGCTCACCGCACCGCCCCTTCCATTTCGAAGTAGTGGGCTCTTCTGGAGTTTTTCCAAAACCCTTTGATTCCATGTGGTGGCACCCAAACCTGTAGCAGCACAAGGTCTCCAAGAAGGTACGGGCGACCACATGTAGGGAGGATATTCTTCTCGAGTTACTTGATGTAACCGCCAGCGCTCACCTTCAGTCGGGGTCTACAAAGAAAATATCGGTCTTCCCCTTTCCAGGTACCCCGGTCCATACCATCAACTCGCACCTCGGCGAATACGGTGAAGATGATGTCCTAGACCGTAGCCCGGATCAGTTTGACGAGGCATGGTCGATGTGGAGGTCTTGCAGATCAAGAGTACTGACCTCCAGGTAGCTATCTGTGGATGACTTCATTCAAGAAGTTTCGCAGCTGTTTGGAGGCGACGTGAATTCCAAAGGTGTTCTCCAGTCAGGCCGCGACTGGAGATGACTTCATATTTTGGCGTACATGAAGGCGATTGGCGGCAGCCTGCTCCAGCTTATAGAGGAAGATCTTGGGTATCTTCCACTCTGGTACTCATATCCACTTCCCCTGTCTGGGCTGCGAAAACTTCGTTGATATGTGGCTCGGCCGAAATGACTTTTTTTTGGCCCCCCTGTATTCATGCAGCACCGCAGCAGCTTCATATCATATTCCTTCGCTTCATCGGCACTCCAGAAGAGTGCCCGGTAGAGTTCCACATTAGTAAAAGGACTCCGAAGAAGGCGATTCTCGCCAAAATGTTAGTCTAATAAAAGTCTTCAGCAATCTCGGAAGGCTCAAGGATCAAGTAATAGTATACCACGCCTATACGCTGAAATTAATTGAAAGCCGGTCATGGAATATTCCTTCGCTTCATATTTTTCACTCAGCAAATGAAACGGTACGAGCATCGGCATCGGACGGATATTGTGCCTA